AGGTTGAAATTCACCACATACTCTAGTGATATTTAATATATTGTCTATTTTAACATTTTTTTATCTAGATACAATACAAAACAAATCATATACTACTGAATATTGGAACAAATTATTCTTTCTGACCAATGTAGTGTATGGTTTGTTTTGTATCGCAACTGATAGAGATGTTAAAATAAAAAAAATAAAAAATACTAGATAATATAAAAATACAAAATGAATTTCATCCCTTAGAAATATTCAAGCATAAATATTAACGGTAGGAATCAATTATGCTATTGAAGTACTCAAAAGGATGATATTACTGTGCTACGTGTGTGTAACTATAAACTATTATGAAATACTTGGTCAGTTTTCATATATGAAATTAAATATTTTTGTGCTAGATTTTAAATAGGCTATCTATTCTTATATTGGTTTTTTAATTTATTTGTTGCGACATCTTATTGAATTTGAATCAAGTGAACAAATTTATCTACCGTCCGAACCATTCCTAAAAGGTGACATTTTTATGTCTTTAGCCAATGAAAAATAAAAAGAATCAATAACCACACTCCCGTAGCTGATTCTTAATAAATGCACATGTAAACTATGTAAATTTTAATTAAAATGCAATGATGATTAAATTTATACTATAATTGTTGAATCAGGAAGTGTTTAATTATGAAATTTATTTTAGAAATTAAAAGCATAAAAATATCCCAGTATATATATTGAACATAGGAACCAATTATGATATTCAAAATAAACAAAAGTAAGACAATACTATATTTATTTTGGAAAGTTATTAGTGTGAAAGATGTCAAAGTACACATACATATCAAACGGAAACCAATTATGTTATTTGAAGCAAATAAAAAAGGAGTTAATACCATCATATGTCTTTGTATAATAGGTTAGTTTTTCAATCTATTCCTTAAAAAAAAAAAAAACATGTATCTAATATGTCTTTATATTTTGAACCGCTTTCTAACTTATCTTTCGAGTCAAAATTTCTAGGTAATTTTCAAAAATTAATTTTTATATTAGTAGATATGGATTACTTATGGCAAGTAACAAAAATAATTTTGTCAAATCACATACTTAATTTAGCTGAAAATTTTGTTTAAAATGATAGATTGAAAATAAATTCAAAACATAAGAATAGATCAAAGACCTTTTTTTAGAGACGGATTGAAAAATTGATCTATTATATAAGAACAAATGAGAGTATTAATCCCCCCAAAAAAATGATATTGCTATTTTTTTAATAATTAAGATATATTCGATCAATTTTCATATATGGAAATTAAATATATGTGTGCTAGATTTTAAATAGGCATCTCTATATTGATTTTGTGCGTGTAAATTTTTATTTTTATTTTTTGGTGTCATGTCATTGAATTCAAATCTAGATGACAACATAGGAAAGAAATCCATTTACCATTCAAACCAAACCTGAAATGTGACATTACTATTTGTGAAAAAAAAACAATAATCTATTTTAGAAAATATTCAAGCATAAATATTCATTGTCGGTACTAATTTTGCTATTGAAATACTTAAAAGGATGAAATTATGATGTGTGTGTAAACTAACGACGAGGACATACTTAGTCAGTTTTCATATATGAAAATAAGTATTTGCGTTAGATTTTAAATAGGCTATCTATCTACATAATGGTTTGGTAATTTATTTATTGTGACATTTTATTGAATTCAAATCAAGATGATGGCATATAAAACAAATCTATTTACCATCCGAACAATACCTAAAAGGTGACATTTCTATACCTCTGACCAATGAAAAATAAAAAAACACTCTCTTTGTTGATTCTTAATAATTCAAACAAGTAAACTATACAAATTTATAATTAAAATACAATGATGATATAATTTATACTATCATTCTTGGGTAAGGAAGGGTTTTATTATGAAATTTATTTTAGAAATTATAAGCATAAAATATCCCAATATCCATATTCACCATTAGAACTAATTATAATATTCGAAGTACACAAAAGCAAGATAATGCTATATTCTTTTTTTTTTGAAAAAAATAACAATTATATAAAATATAACGATTTTCATAAATAGAAACCAAATATGTCTACGTTGGACTTTAAATAAGCCAAATACCCTAATTTTAATTTATTTTGTAAAAATCTATTCTCTTTAACTCCATATTGAATTCGAACCATGATGACAATGCAGAGAACAAATCTACTTACCATACACATCGAGCCTAGAAGATGACAGTTTTATATCTTTGAGCAGTGAAATATAAAATTGTAGCAATTTAGAGAACGAATATGTAGTTTGCCAAAAAAAAAAAAAAAAGGCCATGACTCACAACCACCTTGCACGCCACAAGTAAATTATAAACTAGTCCCTCGCATTTTGAAAAATTAGTTAATTAGATTCTTTCATTATTAAACAAATCATTTTATTTTTTGTGTTACGATTCTGTCAATAACTTGTCTCATTCCTTAGTTTTTCATTAAATTAGTATTATTTTTCTAAATTGCTTTTTTTTTTAATGTTTTATTTTTTGCCTTCGTCAACTTTAGAAATCATAAGCATAAAAATTAATTTTGGAAATCATAAGCATAAAAATATCCTAGTATATATATTGGTTGTAGGAACCAGTTATGACATTCAAAGAAAACAAAAGTAAGAGAATACTATATTTATTTTGGAAAGTTATAAGCATGAAAGATATCAAAGTATACATAAACATCCAATGGGGGAAACCGGTTATGTTTTGCGAAATACATAAAAAAAAAAAAAATGGTTAACACCCTCTATTGTTCTTATATAATGAGCTAATTTTTCAATCCATCCCCAAAAAAACAAAATGCATCCAATTGTTATATTTTGAGTTATTTCTAAACTATCATTCCAGTCAAAATTTCTTGCCAACTTTCATAAATTAATCTTCGTATTAGTATATATAAATCAGTTATGTCAAATAATAAAGATAATTTTATCATATATCATATCAAGTTCAGATAATTTGTTTTAATTTAGTTGAAAATTTTAACTAAAAATATAAATTAGAAACTAGCTCAAGATATAAAGATAAATTAGAGGTTTTTTTTCGGAGAGAGATTGAAAATTTAGCCTATTATATAAGGATAAACACGGGTATTAATCCCATAAAAAGGAGATATAACTATTTTTTATTTTATTTTAACAGTTATGATATCCTAGATTTGTTTTCATATATGGAAATTAAATATCCGTGTGCTAGATTTTAAATAGGATATCTATCTTTATATTGATTTTATTCGCATAAAAATTATTTTTCCATGACATATTATTGAATTCAAATCTAGATGATAACATAGGAAACAAATCCATTTACCATATGAAACAAACCTGAAACATGACATTACTATTGGTGAAAAAAAAACAATAATCTATTTTAGAAAATATCCAAGCATATTATTCATTGTAGGGACCAATTATGCTATTGAAATATCCAAGCATAAATATTGAAATATATTAACGATTAGGACATATTCGGTCAGTTTTCGTTTATGAAATTAAATATTTGTGTCATATTTTAGATAGGCTATCTATCTTTATAATGGTTTATTAATTTATTTGTTGTGACATTTTATTGAATTCGAATCAAGATGATGGCATAGAAAACAAATCTATTTATCGTTTGAACAACACATGAAAGGTGACATTTCTATATCTTTGACCAATGAAAAAAAAAAAAAAACACCATCTCTTAGTGGATTCTTAATAATTCAAACAAATAAACTATATAAATTTATAATTAAAATACAACGATGATAGAATTTATGCTATCATTCTTGGACCAGGAAGGGTTTTATCATGAAATTTATTTTAGAAATTACAAGCATAAAAATATCTATGTATAGATATCCACCTTAAGAACTAATTATGATATTCAAAGTACACAAAAGTAAGATAATACTGTATATTTATGTATATATTTTTAAATTTAACAATTAAATATACTATAACGGTTTTCATATATAGAAACTAAATACGTTTGTGCTGGACTTTAAATTGACCAACTACCCCAATTTTAATTTATTTCGTAAAAATCTATTCTCCTTAACCTCTTATTGAATTCGAACCGTAATGACAACGAAGAGAACAAATCCACTTACCATACAAACGAAGGCTAGAAGATGACGTTTTTGTATATTTGAGCAGTGAAATATAAAATTGTAACAATTTAGAGGGTGTATATGTAGTTTCCCAAAGAAATCAAAAGGCCATGACTCACATCTACCTTACACCCCATTGGTAAATTAAAAATGAATCACTCCTATTTTGGGAAATGAATTAATTAATCTCTTTCATTATAAAAACCAATCATTTTGTTTTTTATATTTTAATTGTGTCAATAACTTATTTCATTTATCAATTTTTCATTAAATCAGTGGTTTTATTTTTTCTAAATTATTTTTCTCCTTCATCAACTTTCTTTCTCCCTTCTCAAATAAAAAAAATAATTTGAGAATAAAAATAACTTATATAATGAAAAACTAATGAAAAAATTAAGTTATTGATGAAATTAAATATAAAAGACTAATTATTTAATTTTTAAAAGAAACGAGCCGAATTAATTCGTTTCCCTAAAGGAGAGGGACTAATTTATAATTTACTCTAAACTCCATTTCCCCACACACGATGAAAGTGCAAGTAGCAGTAGAAGAAAAAAACAAATAAATAGCATCTGACTGTAAATAAATAAATAAAAATCAAGAAAAGAAAAAAGAAACAGAATAACTGGAATCTACTATTACACCATAAAATTACACCATAAAACCAACTCCCATATATAAACTCTCCCTCACGCCCACCCACACCCCTTCTTTATAATCTCTCTTCTCTCTCTCGTTTCATTCATTTCTTTCTCTTTTCAGCCACCCCCACCACCCCCCAAATCTCGTCTTCACATCACTATCTCTCTAAACACTCTTATCTAACCCTTCTCTCTGCACAAATCCTTCTGGGTTTTTAGTTTTTTCAATGATGGAGGAGTGGGTGACAGCGGCGATGTCGGACGAGACTGTAGTAGCGGAACTACTACTCCGTCTCAAACAATCACAGGCGGCGCCGTTAGCTTCCCTGGTGCAAGCGGTTATTCCGTTACGATGGGGTCTGCGGCTTCCGAGGTCGAGACCAGGAACGATGACAGCAACGAATTCTTCTTCATTGAGATGCGATGTGTCTTTGAAAAGTAAAGAAGGAGGACGTGGCGGTGGCGGTGGAGATTCTTCTACTAGATGCAGTCCTACCACTCCTCTTTCATGGAGTGGTGGCGGTGATGGCGGTGCTTCTCCGTCTGGTACTGGTGACGGCTTTGAAGAAACTAGCCGCCGCCACGTCAGCAGCTCTCCTCCGCCACCTGGCGTTAGATCCAAGGTAGTTATAACCACACACAGTCTCTCTCTCTTCCCCTCCCTCTCTCTATCGGTTTCTATTCTTTTTTGGGTCGTTACTGTTACCGTTAGATTTGGCGTGAGCTGATCTCTCTCTGTTCTGTTTGGCTGAAATATCCTTCTTCAGTCTCATTAATTACAGTTAACGTTAAGCCCATTTTTTGTCCTTATGTTCGCCGACGATGAGACATTCGTTTCTTCAAATGGTGTCTTTCGCTCTTTTTTTTTTGTTTTTAATCTTTCGATTTCACTTCTTGACCAATCTGCCCCTTATTTTTTCTCTCATTTATCTTTATCCGTTTTTTTCAAGGATTCGTTAATCTGTTGTCGTCGATTTTGAAGGCGTGAGGTGTTCGTCGACGACAAGTCATTATTTTCTTCTAATGATGTTTTTGCTTAATTTTTAAAATTTTTCTTCTTCGAGACCAATTTACCCCTCATTTATCCTCTTATTTGCTTCTGCTTATCCCTATCTTTTGCCTCGACATTTATTATCGGTTTCCAATTTTCAGCTGCTAAACAACCAACACCCCTTAGCAGCTGAAAAAGGGCAAATCTTCCATCATACGAATTTTTTTCCTCCCCGATCGACTGTGGATATCAGTCAGGATGTCTCATCCACAATTTATTTGGACAAAAATACCCTTGATGACGTTTTCTTCTCGCCTCTTTTCTGGTAACCTGTCATTCGTCGTTTCCAATTTTCTGCTTATTAATTAACCAAATTGTCCTATCAAGTCTTAACCAGATTCTAGTCTCAAAACTTTCGAACAAGGACAATTTTGTCAGATTCGTAAATCAAACATCCCGTTGGCCCATGAAGGAAAAGAAAGAGAACCCCACGAAGTTTCCCATATTTTCTAAGGTTAACCCAAAAAAAAAAAAAACAGAGAGAAAAAGAGAAGTGAAAAAATCCCATTTTGTATTTTTGAGTCAAATCTTTTTGGGTTGGTTGCTTTTTATGGCTTCAACGTGAGATTTTTTTTTTTTTTTTGGCTTATGATGGAGCCTACTGACAATTTTTCTGGGACCCACTCGAAAGGGGAGAGGGGAGGGAGGTTTGTTTTAGCTAGATAGGTGTTTTTGTTTGAGTTTGGTGAGTGATGGGGTCGTTAGTGAGAAATAATCATGTGTGGTGATAGCCTATTATAGGCTTGTTATGACCCTTTTCGGTTTTTTCTTGTGTTTATCAAATAATACTAATTATTGAATGGTTGTGATCTTTCCAAAAATGATTATAAGGTTAATGAGGAGTATCTCGATGATTTTTAAGGTAAGGGAATGGTTGTATTATTATTATTTTTTTAGAAAAAATGGCGAGGGGATGGGGATTTTTTGGTGTAGTGACTCACACCATTGTTGTTGTGTGTACGAGGGAAAGGTAGGAGAGGCAGTCCAGTATGTGCCGGCCATGTCAGAGTGGTCATGTGAGTTAATCACATGAGAAACAGGAGTAATAAAAAGAAAATAAAACACGCTCGCAGAAAGAGGGGTGTCACGTGATGTCACGCGGATTTTGGTGACGTGGCGTGTGGTTATTGGATGTGTGGAGTTACAGAAGGCAGGGTGATGGATGATGATGATGATCCCTTTACTGTTTGAATCTCGACATCTGTTGAGACTAGATTGATGAAGGTTTGCAGTAAATGCTGATATTATAAAATAAATATCACATCTAATTACCGTTAATTGCTGAAAAAAAAAGATTGATCTTTTACCTTTTCTGGCAATTTTTTTTTTGTTGATTGATGGAAATGGGATATGCTGTTATTAACAGTTGAATATATTAAATGTTTTGTGGGGTAAAATAAATTTTGGGTTTTTGTAGAAAAGGGGGTGGGTTTTGTGGTTTGACGCGTGTGCTGTTGGCCACATCTATGGTTTTTGTCTCTTGTTTAAGGATTGGGAAATGTCTATCCATTTTTCTTGTTCCGTGGGCCCCCCTGAGTGTAATTGAGCTGTCGTTAGTATGGTAGTGCTGCCTTTGACGTCTTGCCACTTGGTGTTATCTGCTTCGTATAGTCTGCTTCTTCTTTCTTTTCTTTTCTTTTCTGTTTTTTGGACAGGATTTTTGGTGTTGCTAGTTGTGGGCTTGTTGTTGCCTATAGCTTCCTTCCAGTCTTGACATTTTATTGGCTTAAATTAACAGCATCTAGGAGTTTGATCAATACCATTGAATTTAGTGGACCCCACATGTGGGTCTGGTGATTCAGTGGTGATGATTCATTTTTGGCCCAGGACTAGGGCTCTAGAGGACTGCTACTCTATTATTAATTTGATGGGGAATGTTAACTGATTATTTTTATGGTGTATGACTAATGACCATGTTTATTTATGATACTTGCAGGGTGTTGGTATTGGTGACGCCACTAGTTCTATAGTGAAGAGGTCAAGAAAAAGGAAGGTAAATTCAAATTTCATTTCAAACATCGCTGTCTGCCTTTGCTATAATTCAAACTCCCGTCTGTTAGTTAGGTGGGGTGGTTCTGTGAATTCATGCTCAAATACTAGTTTAGGTCAACTTAAGTGACCACTTGGACTATCTTTTTTTTGGGGGATTTTGTTTTTTTTTTTTTTTTTTTAAAAAAAGTGATGGACTTCTAAGTCTTACTTGTGATAGTATATACTAATGCTTGATGAATTTGGCGTGTAGTAATCTGCAAAGTTTATTGAGATTTTGCAGACTTATTCTGAACTTAAAGAGGAGGAAACTCAGCTAGTGAAGGAAAAGGTTTATCTGAAGAAGGTACGATACTGATGCTTACCACTTGTGCTTTAGCCATTATCTAGTTAATTTCCTATTAATCTTATGTTCATTTTAACAGGAGATAGAAACTGTACGTGCAACAGTCAAGGAGGAGAGAGTCAGAAATGAGAATTTGAAGAGAATTAAGGTATCAACTGTTTCATCTCTCTCTCTCACTCATCTTGTCTTTATGGTTTGCTCCTGATTTCTAAACGAAAACTTGTTGGGTTTGACAGATTGATTTGAATTTGCATTATGAAAATGAACCTGAGGGAGCAGTTTCCAGCCAATTCCACCAGGGAGAAGCCTCCACTTGTAATGACGTTCCATCAACATTGCCTACACATGATGCCAAAGGCGATTCCCATCCGGAATCAAGCTCTTCTGAAACAGACAAGGGGATTTCAAACCATGATAGATCTTTCACGCTACCTGATCTAAATATGATGCCTTCCGAGGGAGAATGTGATACTGAAACTTTATATGGACTGAGTTGAAGAGAAAATGTAAATTGCCCCCATCTCAGCCCGTCAACTGTTTAGGCTGTGGCTGTGGTCAGCTTTTATGCTTCCCACCCGGCTAAGGAGCTGTTTGGTATATGAATATTCAACTGGGAGAGTGTCTGGCTAAGGGGCTGTTTGGTATATGAATTTTCAACTGGGGGAAAGCCACAGGTAACAACCGCCTGTTCTACATGCTGATATCTGGAAGGCAACAGAATGTCAGTCATGAAGAAGGATGGATACACCGTGCCGGAATCAACTGTAGTGAGACTTGGTTCTGTTGCAGGTTTCTACATTGCTCCGAATTTCTTTTGGGGTAAATCCTCATTACTTCGCACTTCGGAACCATGTAGAAAAAATGGTCATTCCTTGTCTGCTAAACAGCTGTTGGACTCCTTTGTTAAAGCTTGCAACTAATTTTTACAATTTTGTACCTCTAGACAATACTTTTATTTATCTTTGTTCGATAATTAATTTGAGAAAGCAGGGTTATTAGAGCTACTGAGTTCAGTACTTGCTCGTGATGAGACTCTTCTCAAAAGCAACAGCAAAAGTTTAGATGCTCAGTCTGTATTGACAACCTTAGATTGCAAGTGCAATTGACCTCAATTAAAAGGTTGCTGCAGACCCAATTTTTGTTTGTGGGTGTCAGAAATTTTCGTTTCGTTTGTAAAGCTGAATGTTGCATTCCTGTCTTGCTATATTTAGGCAGAATGGATGAGCGTGGAGGGATAGTGGGATTAAGACAAATATTGCTCGAATGTATTCCCTAATTGAGAGGATCAGGACCACGAAAAAAGGCTTAATTCTCCTATCTTCCTCTATCTAACCGTTAGGAAGCAAAGACAATCATCCCTCTCTTCAAAATCATTACTCTTCAATGTACCTTTTAACAAATCTTGAAGGGACAATGGATAATATTTGCCCAACCAGTTTTGATCTTATCTTGGATGTTGGATAGTAGGGATTGTCCCATAGGATTTTAATATTTTAGCAAATATCGAGCTTCAATATTGGATTACCTTACCATATCAAGGATAAAGGGTATAATCCCATTCCATGCCATCTATGTAATATGATATGTTTTTAGATCTATTGCATCCTGGAATACCAAACAAAGGCAACTTCCCATTAAAGTTACACTGTAGAAAAGATTTACTTGTTTTCTTTAGACCATATCTATTCGCAGATCCCAAATCTTGCTTTTAACCATGGCCTACTACCCAAAACACAGCGAGTACAGAACCTTGTATAACAAACACTGACGCAATTTTCTTCACACACTTGTTAAATCAGTAAAGATAATATTTTAGAAAAAAGGAAAGAAAGTCTGTATTTTACTCCCTATTATAGCATCTTCAATGCGCTCTTTATATTAAGATTTTTTTTTATAATAAAGAAGTTTAGCTTAAATTCCATCTCCAATGCTCTCTTTATCACAATTTCTATCTTTAAAATTAAGATACGGAGTGTCTTTGGCTCTCCAATATTAGAGAATCCAAATGACTTTTTATCTTATATTTCATTAATGAAAATTATTATTTCCTATGTCACTCAGCCTTTTCATCTATAGTCTTTCTTGGTTTTATGAATTACGTCAAAATAAAGAATTAAAGTAGAAAGTAGCATTGGAGAGAACAGATGATCTTCAATCTATATAATTAATAGTGTTCTTTATTTGTATTAAAATTGCTAGAAATGCTCTTAGAAAGATATAAATCACGCCTTCCCTTGAACTACCCAGTTTTGATCGTTTTAATTTTTTATTTAATTATGTTGCAAATCAAATTTTATACTAGTCAAAGTTGGGATATGCAGCTATTCTATCCAACTCCGTTTCATTAGATTGATCCTCTATCCAATCATGTCTATCCAATCCTATGATGACATGTTTCAACCCAAGCTTAAAAACACAATTTTCGATAGAAAATCAGTTTTTTAAAATTAAAATTAAAAATAATCAATTATTATTTAAAAAATGAAAAAAAAAGAAAGAAAATGAAATCCTAACTAATCTTGCGTGTTTGTAACTGAAATCCACAATTAGAAATTGACATAAAAGGGACACAACAGTATATTATTATTTGAAAAATGAAAAAAAAAAATCTTAACTAATCATGTGAGTTTATAACTGGATCCATCATTAGAAAATGGAAAATTTGCCACCCTCTCTATGGCAATTTTTAAGAGTGGGTTTAGTTATAAACATGCACAATTAGTTAGGTTTTTTGGGTTTTTTTTTTCATATTTAAATGATAATTAATTATTTTAAATTAACACCAATTTTAAAAAAAAATTGATTTTTTAATCGAAATTACGTTTTTAAATTAAAATTGACACGTTATTATATGATTAGTTAGACATTAGCCAATTAACAAAACATGTGTTATTATATGATTGGGCAAACATTACTCAATTAATGAAACAAATTAAAATAGTTAAATGAAAGAGCCAAGTGTCTCCACTTTGTCTAATATAGGATTTGGTTTGCAAAATAAAAATTAATAAAATTGTGATTTTCTCCTCCTAAGTGGGACCATACTCCGATCTTAAATACCTGAGACTCAGCAATTAGTTAATTCCTTTTAATTTCTTAACTCTACTTATAATCCAAATGAGAAGGGATTTCAATCTCATCAACAAAATCAACAAAAGGGGAAAAAAAATGCTAGAGAACTTCTAAGAAATATATAAGAATTGACAAAGCTAACGGGCACAGCCGTTTGGAGGGAAAAAAAGGTTTTACAAAGTATCACAGTAATGCAGAAAGAAAAACAGGACCCCTCTTTACACAAAGCCATTAATTGCATTCCTATACGCCATGAAACCTCTCGAATGCCATAAATTTGCTGTCAAATCCTTGGCCTTCTCTTTAGGTATACAATCCAAGGCAAACTTATAGATGCAGCAAGCCCTCCATACCTCCTCACAATGTTATTCAAACTGTGCAAAAGCCAGAAGCAACTGCTTGACTTCCTCTTCATCATCAATGTCAGCCAATTTCTCGACTGCCCTTTCCTGTACATTCCTAGCCCTCCCAACTTCTCCATTCTTCATCTCAAAGTTGGCATACCGAATCCAAACATAAGCTTTCGGATTGCATTAAAAAGACGATCAAAATCTGTTGCACAGGCTCAACTTCCTTATACCTAATTTCAAATTTAATGTAAGACAACCAGCCTCGCTCATCAGACATATATATATCTGCACATCCATCTTTCAAAGATTTGCCTAGCACCAGCTACGTCACCTAACATCTCAAACGTTAATTTCTTGCATGATTTATCAACTTGCTCCTCATCTCAAACCCTGCATACTTGAGCCATAAGCTGTGGTTACGGAAATTGACCGATAAAGGACGTTCAAAGATTGACCTAGCACGGTTCAACTCCTCCTGGGACTCTTCCCATTGAGAGTTCTTGATCGACACCTAAACATTTCGACGAATCAGGCCTTCCAATTCCTTTCTCTTGCGGAGTTGTAATCTTCCAACTCCAATGAGTCTGCAATAGTCTGCTTGATTGGCAGGAGTGTTTCTGCCTTCTGGTGTTCGCGTGCCTCACGTAGAAGCTGTTCTACCGTGATCTGGATTGCAGCAAGGTTTTTGTTCTTCACAGCAAACCTCATTGTGAATGAACAAAGAATTGATTCAAGAAAAAGAAACAAATAACGAGAGTGAATCAGTCAGTTTAGAAGTCCCAATGTTATTATATAAACACCCTCCAATGGGACAAAAGAGTCTGATCAAAGCAAAAGAAGTTGCAAAATGGTTCACGTGAATTCTTAAAAAATATTTTTGTAAAATTTTATTAAACAATAGCATGGCACTTTAATTTAATATTTGACAACTGTCTAACTTGGTTTTCTCTTGGTTGTCATTTCTTAGCTACCTTAACTAGATGGCCTTTTTGTTTACAATACACAGTGAACGCGGAAGAATCTGTCAATTTATTTATGCAATTAAACCAATCACTTGATCTAGTTCGTGTCTATTTTTTTATGTCCAAAAACTTTTAAAGTGCAATTTGGTGGTCCATTAGACTTTAGAGTATTCTCCCCCTGATTTGATTTGAGGTGGTCTTGTCAACTGTGATGATTTCAACAGCCCAGTCACTCCAACAGCTACAAATAAAAATAAAAATAAAATAAAATAAAATAAAATAAAACTTATTGGGCTTGAAGCCCTCTGACTAAGCTTAGCTCAATCAAACTTCGAGAGTCAATGCCAGGGTAGCCCACATCAAAGGAATGAACAATGAGAAAGCATGAAAGATGCCCACAACTCTTGTCCTGCTAGGAGTTCACCCACCAGCGATAATTAGTAGTTTACTATTTCACTCCAACTCGAAGAACTTTCCTAAAGCACCAGGCTTTGCTAAGACACAAGGATACTACTTTAATATAGGGAAGAAAATTGTTTTTTCAATCAAGGTGAAAGGACGAAACAGCATATTCGATATTCATGTTGGGGGAAGATGAACTAGGTGACAAAACAATTCCTAAATGCAAAAATGAATTTGGGAAAATTTTAATGGAGAATGTGCTAAATTATCCCAAGAATCAAATAATTAATACGTGAAACCAGGACCATCAAGCTGAGTAGGAGATAGTTTTCTATTTGCAAAAGAAAAGGTTTGGAAATATCATGTCCAAAATATTTGATTGATCTTGGAACCGTAAAATCTATTGAGTTATGAAGTGAAAGAGATCTCATGAAAACTAGCCTTTTATGCTATATGAACAACTACCTGCTCCCAAATCCTCCTCTTTCTATAATAGTAAACTAGCTTCTATCCTATCCTAGTGTAACCGCACAATTACCATTTGGATTTCTAGATAAAATCATGAATATGATAAATACTTGCTTGCATGTATCAGTGAAAATTATACAGGATCAACCATTGTTAAAATTCAAATTTCTAATCTTGATTGGCATCCATGAGTGCATAAACATAACAAAGAGAAATTATGGGCAAACAGTTTTGATTGAGAGATGAAAGCTAATCAATCCATCTGAACTCTTGACAGCAACTAAAAGCAACAAAGATATCTCTGATTTGTCAAAAAAGAAATGTTGAGTGAATCAAGAAATACAAATGATTCAAAAAACTAAATAAGATAACAAGTGTTTTACGCAAACCATCTCCAGCATTGTGATGTTGCTCTCGTGTTATACCTATACTGAAAATTGTCGAACTATTGAAATACTTCTCACACCTAAGCATCTACCTATACTTCTACAGTTTGTGGGAGATGGAAGTTTCCCTTTGACTGAAGATAGAGCTATCAAACTATACATGTTGATTATGCTGAATGTTGTAATTTCTCTTCAACTAGCTCGATACAATGATATAGAACAAGCTCAATCGGATTAAGAGAACATACTGTGTCCATTGCAAATGGATCATGATCATCCTTGTTCTCTGCCATGATGCCAGTCACAAGGGCTCGAAGTGGTAGGAGCCATTCATTCAAAACTTTCTCCAAATTTTTCTTGGAGAGAACTCCAGTGTAGTTGGTTTTCCCTGTTCCATTTGACCAGATTTATAATAAGATCGTGACAGCCACAAAACAACATTAAACTTTAGAATTGCTTGTATATCAAGGCAAACTGAGTTTATAGCAGCGAAAATCCAAAGCTGGAGGTCTGACTCAAGACATCTAGAATTTATAATGGTGAGACGATATCTGGGTTCACCTAAATGAGTTGAACTCATTTAAATATCTGTCCTATTTGTCAGGTCCACTACATGATTTCCATTTCATCATTTACTATGTGCTACAAAAAAAGTTCACTTAGTCAGAGAACCAGCAACTAAACCCTCCTTTACCCTCCATCTACAAGATCAATTATAAGATTCACACACAACTGGCTCGAGCTATGATTGTCATCAAGCCATTTGTTCAAATACCTGGGTATCTGTGACTTCAAATCAGCTGGTCATTTCATAGTTTCTCACATGTTACTAATACATATCTCTAAAAATTAATAGGATTATTACCATATCTGGAACCTCAGTATTTTTCCAACTAAAAATGACTGAAAAATTGCTACGCAGTTTAGGAATGACGTAAAAGAAGAAAACAAAAGGATTTACATTTAACACATTTTGGACTTTTTCTGTTTTGACTTCCAAAAAATTGTGAGCTATTATATTTTTACCTGCTGATTCTGTCATCAATATAAATCTGTACAGATTGAGGGCAGCGAGAACCTGTGAGGCATAGTAGCAATTAAAGTTGGAAAAGTTTCAATCTCTGTAGTAGTCTATACATTGCTATATAAAACACAAAAATTGGAGCCAGGAAAAGAAAAAGCCGTAGGATTTATGCAAAGAGACTGCAACAAAATAAAAATGATTGAGAAGGCAGGCAATACCGCATCACCATGCTCAGGAAAGGATGGAGGTCCTCCCTTTGGAGGCCTCAGAACTAGCTCTACCAATTCAAGGGCACAAGTAACCCAATGTGGTGCGGCTTTACTTGCTTGCATTTCCTCGTCTTTCCCTGTTGTTCTTTGGAAACCTTCCCTGTACAAATCGCTTCTAACAAGATCTAAAAGAAGTGCAATCTGTATAGTTGCAACAAATATTTCAGATGACGGAGTTTTGCATCTTATTTGAACAAATGTTGGAACTCTTAAATCATATAAACCAGCTTGCAAGAGTTTACCATAGAGGAAGACGTGCTATTTGTAATCAAAGCTTGAAAGATTTCAAACCTTTGACAAGTGGGAATATCAGCAAGTACCTGATTTAATTTGGCAGAGTGATATAAGTACTCCCAATATACGAAGTGCATATATGTTGAGAAGTAGGGAGAATAACAAACAATTCATAAAAAACAAAAGGGATTTCAAGGATCAGTCCATTCAATTTTTCAAAATGCAGCAAAATTATGAAACCATAATTTCTCGGCACTATCCAGGCACTTGGGGGAAAGTCTAAAAAACAGAGGTCTTTACACTTACTGGCTCTCTTCCAAACCCTTACCCTTTTCAATGCTACAAAAGCATTCTTCCTTAGCACAGTATCTGGTGTGTACATGATGAGCATTGTAATAGCCTGAAATATTTAATTTTGACCATTAGAAAGGAGAAAGTAGTTATAGATGTACGAACTCAGAAGGAAAGAGGGTACCTGCAAAGCAGTATAGAGATCAGGCATATATATATAGCAGTCGGTGTCTTCGTCATTGCAGTTTCTTGTGATATTTCCATCAGTAATGCAAAGCAAGAAGTCAATGGCATGTTTCTTTAATTCCCAGGGGAAATCAACAGATGAGAATATGTGCTTTAACATGCCTATGGCTTGCCACCTCTTAGTTTGGTTACTTAGAAGTTCATCCTTGACGGTTGACATATCTTCCCCAGCAGCCTGAACAACATTACCAGAGACATGACCCCAGATCACTGCAACAAGAGAGTAAGAAAGACTAAACAATTGAGGTAAAAACTAAGGGTTTATTTTTCTCCTGATACCAGTTAAAACTAAGATAATCATTCATCAAAACAAATAATTACAAGGACATGCATGTATTTTTGGAAAATACAGACCTGAAATTGATGCACCATGTTTGATGTAGGATAAACACCTCCTATAATCATCCTCCTCTTCTGTGTATTTCATGATTAGAATTAAAAATGTAATCATTATTAGATGAAATCAAAGGAAAAAAGAAGTTACTATGGCTAGAGCTAAAACATAAGAGTTCAATTAAATTGAAGAAAAAAAGTTACAATTAATATTGGCATGCAAATTTTAAGATGCAAAAGACAACATACAGAAACCTAGAAGACTTTTTTACCTGCAACAAAAGTGCGAGTCATTTCATCAACGTCAGATCCAGTTATTAAACCGAGATATGATAAACCACAATATGGTAAGAATTCTGACAGCTGTGACACCAAGGGAAGGCATCTTGGAATTTGATATCCTAAAACAAGCGAAAGAAGAGCCTGTAGCATATCAAGGGTGCAACTTAAGTCATGCAATCTCATTCACATGACACAATTAAATAACCATGTAGACAGGAAAAGGAAACATGAAGCACAAAAAATAGTGACATTAACTAGAATATGCACCTGCAACAGGACCTTAACTAGCTACATCACAAAATTACAAGCCCTGGTATAAAAGGAAATATTTATCTAACTAAACACTGAAACTGAATTCCATTTGAACACAGGAGCGCTAACCATGATTTGTAAAATGTATGAACCAAGTACATCTCGAAGCTTTTCAAGTACTCTGCCCTCCTGCAGCCGCGAAAAGTAGGTTAGTGAAGATTAGCAGGGCTTGATTGAGTATTTAATCAAGAAAAAGGAAAACAGAACAGGAAACATGATACCAATTTCGCACAAATTTCTCGTATAGAATCAGCAACTCCTAAGGCTCTGATAAACAAATTCAAACATTCTGTATCCCTAGCACGGAACTCTGAACACACAGCCTTCAAAACATTTAGGATGACAGGAATTGCAGCTTTTACTTGCTCAAAGTGGCGCCTCTGTAGGGCAAGGAATACTGTTAGAAAAAAGAGAGAACCTCAGCATCTTAAATTCAATAAGATCAGCAGCTACCATAACATTAATAAAAACATCCACAACGTAGCTTTTCTCAATTGGGTTATTCCACTATGTCCCAAAAGTGAGTAAACTTAACTAGAATAAATAAATATGATGCTGAATTGCTAAAACTATTTTCTGTAAGAATTGATCCCTCGAATTTGGCACACATAGCTCACTATAATTAGGACCTAAACCCACATTCCACAAATACAATAGAAGAGCAGCAATGACACGATATTATAAGCAAAAATATATAAAAAAGAAAGAAAAAGTCGTAGATTTCACCAAAATAGGTTGTTTCGTGGATGACATGCAAAATGTACAGAATGGTCCAATGACACGATATTATAAGCAGAAATGCTTAACCGGAACAGTTAGTTTCACGGGACATGCATATATAAGGAGCCTTGTCAAATTAGAAATGGCATTTATTTCATCAATTCACACAAAAAAACCTCTTTACTTTTTTTTTAAAAAAAAAACAACAACCTTTTGAGATCCCACTTAGAAGAGGAGCAACATAATCATATGGATGAATCATCCCATTCCAAGAATCCAATGCCTGATCCAAGAAAAACCAATCATTAGTAGTGGTAAAATAAAACCATCAGTGCCAACACACAATATCACACTAACTAATAGTATAAAACTAGGCACAAATAAATCCACGATAAGCATTAATCGCAATATTAAGTGATGAATTACAAATTTACTATTCACGAGTAAATTATGTGATTATCAAACACTAAACCTTATTCAGCCATTAACACATTAAAACACAAAGTACCTCACAAAGCATCGGAAGCATATCCCGCGGACTGCACATTTCAATGAAACGATCAACAACATTATCAGCAATCTTCAAGCACTCATCAGACAATCCTGCAAACTTTGAGACCGCCTTCGGTAGCTCAAATGATAGTGCATCAATAACCGCCTAAAAAAAAGTTCTCAATCAAATATTCACCAACAACAATATCCTAATCATTATAACAAAAACAAAAACAAACAAACAAACCTGATCTACCGATGGAAAAAGTAAAAACTTGTGGATTTCGGAGAGAACTTCAACTGCATTTTGTCGTGCATCAGTGTCTTCGAGATTCGATAAAGCAGAATCGGAAACTGAATTGATAAAATCTACCAGTTCTGCTACTGATTTCTCATCTCCACTTTCAATCAACTACCAAAAAAAAAAATCAAATTGCTATTAAAATAAAACCTCTATTTAACTTTAAATTGGTATAAGTAAAAGAAAAATTAACACCAAAAAGCTAGATCATTAAACTCTGTCGACTAAAGCAAGCAGTTCGCTCGCTCAAAAACGCAGCGTTTTCAATAACGGTATAGAATCTTCGATTGTTTTCTATTAGAAACAGAGCGTTTTGGATTTTCTTGGAAAACAAACAGAATAGTAAAAACTTTTCTAGAAAAAATGAAGAGAGAGAGAGAGAGACTTACAGTGGAGCACGGGGAGAGTTTCTCGTGAAGACGGAGAACTAGATGATTCTTAGTGATAGTAGAGGGGAAGGAGGAAGACTCGCGAGGCTCACCGGTTTCTGCTGCCATAGCGGGCGTTAACGTAGCTGATGTTGGTGTTTTCTTTTTTATAGGGTGACTGAGTGAGTGGTTTTTTTTATCATTCGGGTGCGGGAATTTTAGTTTTTGAGTGAGAGAGGGGAGGAGTCTGTTTTCTGTTTTTGGTTTACAGACGATGCATTTTGCACCGTCCGATTATGGGAAACGACGGTGCGTTTCCTATCAATGTTTGCATGTTCTAAAAAGACAGTAATGTGATGTTTTTAATTAATTGGTAATTTCTTCTTTTTACTAACAATTTTTATTTATTTTTATTAAAGGGTGGGGATGCTGTGAATTACAAGTTCATGTACTGCGTAAGAATGAATTTAACACATTTCCACCTATTTTACCAACACATAAACTCTACGGCTAAATTTTAAGATAAATGTAATTATATTATTTTATATAATATTTAAAATTTCTCATATATTCTTATGTTTTTAATTGCATTCTATTTATTTTTAAAAATGTTTGAAATGTTCAATCTGTTATAAAATAAATAGAAATAATAGGAGAATTGAAGAAAATGATGACAAGAAAATAAAATCACTATAATGTGAATATAACCGATAAGAGCTTCAAGGTTTCTTTTATTCTCTTTAGGAAACTTGTACACCAACTAACGAACAATCAAGCCTATTTATAGGCTTTAAAATTGATGATAGAATTGGAAGGAACTATGAATAATCAATTGCATCACCCTTTCAATTTCTCATATTGAATGATGAATTGAATCATATTAAGAATCATAAATAGTGGAGATATGAAAAGTGGATGAACATGATAATGGATATTCATTATTTCATAACACTCCCTCGAATGTCTATTGTACAAGGAACATGCCTCGTTAAAACCTTACTAGGAAAAAACCTAGTGGGAAAAAAATCCTAGTGAAGAAAAGAGAGTACAATATTCCTTGCATACATTAATCCCTATTTTGGTTTTTCCCTATTGAAGGCATTATTTAAGATCCTTAAGACGATGCATTTCAATCTTGTGAATCATTTTCTCAAAAGTTATGGTAGGTAATGCTTTAGCGAATAAATCTATTGGATTGTCACTTTGATGTATTCTTCCTTCAATTGAATTATGCAATCAACATTATCCTCATATGATATTACTAGAATTTCTTTTCTTGGTAGATAAACCGCATGTCTCTCGAATACAATGGATCATTAATCTTAGCCAAACACATTCTTAACTTACCTCGTGAATTGATATTTTTACATGATTTAAAGATGTAACGACTATAGTTTGCTTTATAGAACACAAAGATATAGCTGGATCTCCATATGTAAATATATAACCAGTTATGATCGAGCTTTATGTAGATCAGATAAATAACATGCATCTTCATAACCAATTAATATTATCTTTGATTTATTAGAGCAATATAAGCTCATATCAATTATTCCTCAAAGATAACGTAATATATATTTAATTTTATTTCAATGTCTCTATATTGAAACGGAACTATGACTTGCTAACGAATTTATAGAAAAGACTATATCGAGTCTAATATTATTAGCAAGATACATCAATGCACCAATGGCACTAAAATATAGTACTTCGGGACCAAGTAGTTCTTCGTTATCTTCTTGAAATAAAAAAGGATCTTTTTGGATATCAAGTGAATGAACTACCATTAGGCTAATCGATGAATGATCTTTATATATAATCATTGTAGAATCTTTTTTATATAAATTGACCGATGAATGAAAATTTTATTCTCCGAGTGCTCGAACTACAAGTCGACATAACATTTTGTTTTCCCAAGATATTCACATAAAATTCTCTTTTTAGGTAACTTATGATACTTGAAATCTCTTCGAAAGTTCTAATAATATTTAAGTTATCAACACATACAACAAACCTCTTTTCAAATATGAATAAATAGGGTTATTTTTTATAATTTTCTTTCAATAAATAACCATTGAAATGATTATATCACATGCACATGGGTTAGTAATAAACAATAAATATAAAAATAAAGTATAAACAAGTATAATATAAATTGAATTTTTAAAAACTAAGATAATAAAATAAATACTAAAATAATCCTAATAGATATCTTTATAATTTAATTAAATTTTTTTTCGAGAATATGTATTACATGCTTCGGCATGTTAAGTCCTTCTAGGACTTTCATACCGATATCATTTCAAATGAAAAAATAAATTGTGATCACATTCATTAAATGCATGCATATGAATGTTTTTCATACATTTTTTTAGGCTAATGAGATAACAAAAGACAATTGCATCCACTGTAGGAAAATATGTCTCCTCATAGTTAATGTCAATTCTTTATAAAAACTTTTGTTTTAAAAGTTTTGCTTTGTATCATATAATCTCATCTTTCTTATTTTATTTTTGTATAAATACATATTTGTATCCCACTATCTTAACATGTTCGGATGTTTTAGCTATGGGTTCAAAAAACTATTCTTTTATAAGAGAACATAATTCTCGCTTAGATTGTTCTTTTTATTTAAGCCAATTATCTTTATGTCGACATTCTTCAATAATTTAGGCTCGGGATCCTTATTTTCATCCATAATATCAATTACAATATTATATGTAAAAATCTTATCAATAGACGTTTCTTTTCGGTCCTATTTTCTCCTCGCATTGATATAATTTATCAAAATCTCTTGATTTTTCTTAAATATTTGGACTTCTTCGCAAGCCTATTATTAGAAATATATTGGATCATTTTTTAAATATTTACATCTTTTATATTTTCATCTTATCATTTTCTTTTAGAAATTTTTATCTCCGTAACCGATCGGTCTTCTACACTTCGGGCGTGCTTTAGCTTCATTAACTATAACATTAATAGACTATCCTTTTAGAACATTAATTCTAACATGAGCATTCTTAGCAGGGATATGCATTTTAATTACTCATTTAAGATTTAATAATGCATCCGGCGATTGGGTTGGTTTCAATACCTCGACAAATGAATTATCTTTTGAACTTCTAGTTCACATTATCTTCTACAAGAATCAAGGTGATATAAGATAAAGTGCTACATGTAATCTTTTTTTTTCAACATTTCCAACTCGCTTATTTTGCTTATTCTCTCCCCCTAATGTTGAAAAAACTATTTCATCAAAATGGCAATCGATAAATCGAGCTCGTAAAAATTTTCTCTTGTTCATGAATCAAGAGATTGAATTATCAAAGATGATTTATATATTCCCAATCTCTTTTAAGTGTCCATTTTATTTCATTATGGAAGAGCACTAATGATATACACTCGCAATGCCAAAAATTCTTAAATAAGAAATATTTGACTCATGACTATAAATCAACCGAAGATGAGAGAATTTTTGATAACTTATAGGTCATATGCGAATAAGTGTTGCTCGCATATAAGATTGTATGTCCCAAAACATAAACTGGGAGTTTTATTTTTAAATAATGATTTAGCTATCAATTGGAGCCTTTTGATAAATGATTTTGCTAAACTTTTTTTAGTATGAACATGAGTAACAAAATGTTCAACCTTTATTTTAATAGCCAATCAATAATAATTTAATGCTTGAGAAATAAATTCATCAACATTATCAAAGTGACTTGTTTTAATTGCATAATTTGAAAATTATGCTCGAAATCAAATTATTTGCTAACAATCTTGAAAACATCGGGTTTCGAGTATATAATAAGCATATATGTGACTATCTTGTGGATGCATTTATCAAAATCGTAAAATATTTAAATGGTTCACATGATGGATGAATTGATCCACATATATCACCTTGCATACATTCTAAAATACCGAATATTCAATCTCAATTTTACTTGATGATGACTTAATCATCAATTTGTCTTGGCAACATGCAAAACATGAAAGCTCTTTAAATTGAATAATCTTCTAGCTCTTCAATAGATATTCATATAATTTTTTTTAATAATTTTTTTGCATCATGAAAGACTCAAGATAACACAACCGGTCATGTCACATAGTAAAAGTATTTGAATTAGTAAACTTCGGTTTGCTACAATATTTGTTTCAATCATTTTAATGTTTGTAATAAAGATTAGAAAAGAAAACGGATAAATTTTTTTAATGGATATTTGCTACTTGATATATTGATTATAACATATAAGTATTCACATTTGCTATCTTGATATGATATCAATTCGGATGAATGTCTTTGAAACTTAATAAATTTCTATGAGACTTTGAAGAGAATAGTACATCATTCATAATAAATTTATCCTTTCGGATAATAACATATTTGCTATTTCGAAGCCTTTAAATTAGTCACTTAAAGTAATAATATATCGACTCTTTTAGAGCCTTTAAACATTTTCTCTTCAAGTAATAATTTATTCACTTTTCTAGAGCTTCAAAAATTTATCTCTTCAAGTCATGATATAATCGCTCTTTTAGAGCCTTCAAAATCTATCTCTTTAGATAATAATATAGTCGCTATTCTAGAGCTTTCTATTAGATTGATATTATCATATATGATATTAACATTAAATAAATAATCAAATAAATCAATGCAAAATAAATAAATCAATATATTCCTCATGAACACAAACAAATAAATAAATAGTAAAATAAATTTGTAACCATCAATATATGACATAAATTATAAGAAATATAAAGCATTTTAGTTATAAATAGAAAAACTAACAAGTAATTAATTTCAATTATTATTACTTTGATATATAAAAGTAGCCTTCATATTTTACTCTTTATTTTTCAATAAGGCTTGACAAGCCTCGATGAGGTGCTTTAGTATACAACACGTACACGATCAATATTCATTTATTTCACATCTATAATATTTATTTTTCAGAATACCGACTTTATCTATTTTTATTTATTTTTTCATAGTTATCCACTTCGGTGGTGAGATGTAATATTATGGTCATTACAATTATAATCATAATTATTTCGACCATATCCATGGCTATGACCACATCTTCATTTATGTCTAAAATTATTATAAATTATCACTTTCACTTCGGGAAATGGAATAGATCCAATTGGATGAGATTTATTCTTTTTTATTTTATGTAGCCACTAACAAGTATAAAATCGATCCAAAATATTTATTAAACTCTTTTTCTCGATAGCTACCGCAATAGCATATCCAAGACATAAAAAGTAGAGAATATTTTTTCAAAATCAAGCACTCATAGTCAATGATTCTTATTCAAAACATCAAGAGTCACAAAATCAAGTTTATGAGGTTTGATATGATAAAAATTCTATAATACAATATATAATAATAATATTATAAAATAAGAACAAATATAATAATAAAATTAAAGCTTTTCAAATAACATTTATTAGATCATTTAAGTTTTTCAAATATACATTTCATGTATCAATAGGTTTAAAGTACATGAATAAATTAGATACATACCTCTTAATGATCTAAATAATTTAGATCTTTTAGTAGAGCACTTGTGTAGAAGAATTTCAATTGTTAAAACAATTGATTAAATCTTTTGGTAGATACATAACTCATGGTCCATTGTCTCGATTAGTTAGAGCTTCATGTTGATAACGTGTTATAAAATAAATAGAAATAATAGGAGAATTGAAGAAAAGGATGACAAGAAAATGAAATCACTATAATGTGAATATAAGTGATAAGAGCTTCAAAGTTTCTCTTATTCTCTCTAGGAAACTTATACATCAACTAATGAACAATCAAACCTATTTATATGCTTCAAAATCGAGGAGAGGATTGGAAGAGGCTATGAATAATCAATTGCATCACCCTTTCAATTTCTCATATTGAATGATGAATTGAACCATATTGAGAACTATGAGTAGTAAGGATATGAAAAGTGGATGAACATGACGATGGACATTTATTATTTCATAATACAATCCATTTTTTCAATTAATTTTTATGACCAAGTGAATTTTTTTTTCTCTAAATACACCTAATTGAAATAAAAAAAAACAATAATAATTTTAGAGACTTCAAAAATTAAACATACAGATCATTCGACTTTAAGCTTTTTTTTTTTTTTGACAAATGACATTTTGATTAAAAATTTATTCATAATTGAAAAATTTAATCGGAAGAATAGATTGAACATTTTAATTTTTTTTCAAGAATACATATGATGTAAATTAAAAATCTATAAACAAATGAAAACTTTGAGTATTATATAAAAATAGATGAATATATTTAATCTACATTTTAAAATACTCAAAGTATAATAATTATTAATAGATGAGAAATTTTAAAATACTTAAAGAGTAATTAATGATAGTTATTTTACGGAGTTTGCTTTGATAAGAGAGATTGACATAGAGAAAAAAATCATACTTAAACCCATCAAATAAGATAAAAATATTTTTATTTATACTCGATTGTTATTTTTTTTTAATTTTCTCTCTTCTATATATATCTCTCTCTCTCTCTTGTATGTGTGTGTTTTTTTCCTACCAAGTATTATCAATTACTTTTTAAATAAAATAAAATTTATGGCAAGTGTAGCATTTTCAAAACCACAATACACAAATTTCTCTTGTTCACTTTAAAAAAAAAAAAACAATTGATAATTAATCTTTTAAAAGAGATAGAAGAAATTTTTCCAAAATGGACGGATTTGCATTCCATGAAAGAACCAAGACTTAATTAAAAATTGTTAAAATTAGCGGTACTCGCCACTCTCTTCTCAACAAATTGTTATCACTCCCCTATATCCAAACACACCCTGTCGTCTCTCTCTCTCTCTCTCTCTCTAACGCAACCAACAAAAAGCTTCAGTACTCCATCTCTCTCTGCAGTTTCTAAGGTCCTCGATCTGGCGCTCAACTCCTCACTGTAACTCCCTACACCTCACGCTTCTATTACCGTCTGATCCCATCATGGAACCAGACGTAAGCATAGAAACCTCCTCAATGATCCGAATAGCCATCCTCCCAATCGGCAAAATCCCTCACCAAACCCTGCGTGACTATTACTCCATGTTCCTTCACCACCATACGATCCCACTCTCCTCAATCTCTTCCTTCTACACTGAAGAACAGAAATCACCATTCACTAATCAACCTTGGGAAACTGGTTCGCTCCGGTTCAAATTCGTTCTCGGTGGTGCACCGCCTAGTCCTTGGGAAGATTTTCAGTCAAATCGTAAGATCTTGGCTGTTATTGGGGTTTGTCATTGTCCGTTATCGCCTGATCTTGATTCAGTTATTGAAGAGTTCAATGGAATTTGTAAAGGTTACGCTTCTGCGCGTGTTACTCGCTGTTTCGGTTTTTTCCCTTGTGATTCTCAGGTTAGTTAGCTGGTTTGTTTCGCACAATTGTTTGGTTAGGAATTTTGTTTTTATTAATTGGAATTGTTTTATCTTTTAATTTTCTGATTATGATTGAACTAAATGCTAACGAATGGTAATTGGAATTTTGTTTTCATTTCTAAAAGAATGAAATGTGATGTAATGGTTTCGTTTCTATTGGATTAGGCAGCAGAGAGATTTATGTATGCTTGCCGATATAAAGTGATTTTGATTTAAATGTGATTTAGTTTGCTAGACGAGGAGGATAGAATTCTGCGAGAAATGAGCCACTTCTGTTTGTTGTTTTGGAAATTATTCTTTTGTATTATCATGGAAAATTGGAATTGAATAAAACTAAAATATGAAACTTATTTGAAGTTGGAACGTAGTAGATGTTGGCATTGGAATTCTATTTTGCTTGCAGTTCGCTTTCAAAGTTGGCCAAGCATGATCTAACGGTTTTGATTAAATGAATCTGAAATGATTTGATTTAAGTGTCAAATCAATTATTTCTCAGATTTGGGTGATCAGTGATTTAATTCTCGTTGTTTTTGTTACAGTTAGAGGATGGGAGTAAAAAGGGGGAGAATTTGAGATTGTTTCCACCGGCAGATCGTCAAACGCAGGAGATGCATTTGCAGACAATGATGCAAGAGATTGCGGCTTCACTGTTGATGGAATTTGAGAAGTATGTATTTCAAGCGGAATCTGCTGGAACTATACTCAAGACGCCTTTGGACTCGCAAGCTAGTTTAAGCTCAGAGGAGGTTTATTTTTAGGTGTCCTAAGGATTTTGAATCTGGAAATTTTGTAGTGAAAGTTTTAACTTTGTTATGGGATGCCATGTATTTGTACCTTGTAGGTTGATAATTTTCGTTTTGTCAAAATTTCAGGTGATCAAGGCTAAAAAGCGAAGGCTTGGTCGTGCACAAAAGACCATAGGGGATTATTGTTTATTGGCAGGATCACCTGTTGATGCCAATGCTCATTATTCTACTGCATTGGAACTAGCCAGATTGACTTCGGATTACTTCTGGTATGCTGGGGCTTTGGAGGGTAGCGTTTGTGCCTTACTGGTATGTGCATCTAAATGGCATTCATGTCAAATGCATCTTTTTGTTTGTCTATGAATGCATTGGCTGTTCCTGTTCCATAGTGAAGTTTCTGCAAAAGCTGATTGGTTTAAGGTTCCTTCTGTATTTCCTCTTGAATGATGGTTCCTGTCGCCTGTATGTCTCTGTCTTTGGCATACCATGCAGTTATGCAATTGCTCATCTCCCCTTTTTTGCTGTTATCAGATAGATAGGATAGGCCAAAAAGATCCAGCTCTAGAGGAAGAAGTTCGGTATCGGTACAGCAGTGTTATATTGCATTACAAGAAGTCATTTATACAAGAGAATGCTCAGAGGTAATTATCTCTCATTTTTGTTGATGGATTAGCTTTTTAAACCTCTTTTTCCTGAATTATGTGAAGTAGTTCTTCAAAAATCAAAATTGCTGGTTTAGTATACTTGGAGGTGAAACTGTGAGCTATGGCATGCATATTTTTTAATCTCTCTAATCTTGTTCTATGAATCACTTAGTGTAATATATAAACTTCTAGGTATGCTTCCCTAATTGCAGCAATTGGATTATGTTTATTCATATATTAGGGGTTGTCTTTTTGTATAGATTGCCTTGAGATCTTCAGATGGTTTATTTTTCAATTTTTAATTAATCATACTAAGTGTAAATTTCTCTTACTATTTTCGATACAGGGTTTCACCTTTAAGCTTTGAACTTGAAGCTAATTTGAAATTGGCAAGATATCTTTGCAGGTAAATATTTTTTTCTCAACTCTCTTTACCCTGTAGGAAGATACACACAAAAGAGAGCTCTTTAAAATAAGATGCAAAAGCTTCTGTTTCTTGAAAGCAATTTTCATAGTAATGGTACTTATTTTTGCAGAAGAGAGCTGGCTAAGGATGTAGTAGAATTGTTGACAAGTGCTGCAGATGGTGCAAAATCTTTGATTGATGCCACTGATAGACTCGTATTATTTGTTGAAATAGCTCGTTTATTTGGAAGTCTTGGTTACCAGAGGAAAGCTGCCTTTTTTTCTAGGCAGGTTGCTTGCCTGTATCTGCAACAAGACAACAGATTGGCTGCTATTAGTGCTTTGCAAGTTTTGGCAATGACCACCAAAGCATATTGTGTTCAGAGCAGAGCATCCTTCTCAGATAATTCTCATATCAATGTGAGTAATGCTAGGTGAAAAATTGCAATCATGCATGTAATGGTTGCTGGGATGCTTGTACTGTAGGCTGGCTGTGGTGTATAATCTTCTATTGTGGTTTCATTTGGGTTAACTACATATTTCTGCAAACAGATCTCTCTAGTTCTGCTTAGAAAAATGCAGAAGCACTCTCAATTTACAAAAAGAAAAAGGCTGCAATAAGTACATAAAGTCCTCATAAAACGTCATTTGTTGTCTGCTGGTTCTTAGCTAGTTCAGTCATTTAGCTTTGTCTGAAGATGATCAGGACCAGATCCTGCTGAAAAAGAGGGAAGAAGAGAGAAAGAAAAGAGAAGGGAGAGGGTTAAACATGCCATATAACCCAAACAATGGGTGAAAGAAATGTGATTACAGTGTATCTTGTGTCTTTAAACTTTTACCATTCATGGATTTTCTTCTTTTTGATAGGAGGTTGGATCAAGTCATGCTGATAGTGGGAAAATTCATCACCAGTCTGTAGTTTCTTTATTTGAATCTCAATGGAGCACACTTCAAATGGTTGTGCTGCGGGAGATACTGCTATCTGCTGTTCGTGCAGGAGATCCTCTTGCTGCATGGAGTGCTGCTGCTCGGCTTCTAAGATCATATTACCCTCTAATCACACCTGCTGGACAAAATGGCCTTGCTCGTGCACTTGATAATTCATCTGAGAGGTTGCCTTCTGGGACTCGATGCGGTGATCCTGCCTTACCTTTTGTAAGGTATTTAGCTTCATCCGTGGAACCTTAGCTATCTTTCTATCTTTCTTCACCTAGTAGCATAGTAGTGAATGTGTTGTGGGTCCTTTCACCTTTTGTCTATTGTTGTCTGGGTGTTCAAAGAATGTGTCTGAGAACTTATAGCAGGTGGTCGTGTATTTACTGAATCTGCCAACAAGAAGGCTGCTTATGGAGTCTCATTTTTTCTTGTTACATAAGTTTTTGAAGTTGGCAATCATTATACAATTAATCTGTTTATATCTTCCAGGTTGTATTCTTTCCCTCTACATCCCTCTCAAATGGACATTGTAAAACGCAATCCAGCAAGAGAAGATTGGTGGGCTGGATCTGCTCCTTCAGGGCCTTTTATATACACACCATTCAGCAAAGGAGAACCAAATGATAACGGCAAGCAGGAGCTGATTTGGATTGTGGGAGAACCTGTCCAGATTTTAGTGGAGTTGGCAAACCCATGCGGCTTTAATTTAAGGGTTGATAGTATATACTTATCAGTGCATTCAGGAAATTTTGATCCTTTTCCCATCAGTGTAGATCTCCCTCCTAATTCGTCGAAGGTGATCCCCTTATCTGGAATTCCAACTTCAGCGGGGCCAGTGACAATTCCAGGGTGCACTGTTCATTGTTTTGGTGTTATTACTGAACATCTTTTCAGGGATGTTGATAATCTGCTCCTTGGTGCAGCACAAGGACTTGTGCTTTCTGACCCGTTCAGATGTTGTGGTTCTCCAAAGTTGAAAAATGTGTTTGTCCCAAATATTTCTGTTGTACCACCACTGCCTTTACTAGTTTCACATGTTGTAGGGGGTGATGGTGCCATAGTTTTATATGAAGGCGAGATACGTGAAATCTATATTAGTCTGGCTAATGCAGGCACTGTTCCAGTTGAACAGGCACATATTTCACTCTCAGGAAAAAACCAAGATTCTGTTCTCTCAATACCATATGAAACCTTAAAATCTGTTCTTCCTTTAAAACCCGGTGCCGAGGTGACCATACCTGTGACCTTGAAAGCCTGGAAGCTCGGTTTATTGGACCTTGATAATGCTTCTGGTAAGCATGCTTCTGGAAGCATGGCAAGGCAGTTAAAGGACAGTAGTAGCCCCTCGCTGCTGATTCATTATGCAGGTAATTTTCATTATCTAACCTCCTTCAAATTTGATATCTAATTCTGCAGACTCTGAAGAAAAAGAGAAAGCTATTGGCTAACAGAAACTCCATTTATGTATCCATTGTTTTTTCTAGTCATATTATTTTGGGTGAAATAATCCTGCATGTTCTCCCCTTCTAAGATTTGTTCTGCATAAAACTATAGTTTAGGCTTGCAATAGGGTAAGTTTGTGCTTTTTATTGGTTAGGTTGTTTTTGGACAGTTCAAGGAATATGAAAATCAGGTGTCCCAAGCCCATATCTCTTCTGTTTTGAATTTTTCTAACTGAGTTTTAGCTTATTGGAATTCGTTAACGCTTGAGATTAAAGTCCAGCCTTTCCACAGTTAATCATTTAGAATCTGCACTTGATATATGTCTGCTGTCGAGAATTGACTGAATGGAGCATTGTTATTAACTTCCTGTAGATTTGTTATACTGTTAGTTTAAATCTCTCTTTGTCTCCTTGTTCCCCCTAGCATTAGTAGTCTGACCGTCACGACAGCATTTAAGTGAATAACTTATATTTTCTTTGCTTAATCTTTTTCGTTCTGTTTTCAGGGCCATTAACAGATTGTGAAGATCCACCAAAAGGATCTGTTTTGACTCCTGGTAGACGCCTGGTTGTTCCCTTGAACATATGCGTGTTGCAAGGTTTGTCTTTTGTAAAGGCTCGTTTGCTGTCTATGGAAATTCCTGCCCATGTTGGTGAAAATCTTCCAAAACCAGTTCATGTAGAGAATAGTGCTAGTAAAGAAGCTATTGGTTCTGAAACAAAGATGGATGGATTGGTAAAGATTGATCCTTTCAGGGGAAGTTGGGGACTGCGATTTCTGGAACTAGAATTGTCTAATCCTACCGATGTTGTGTTTGAAATCAGTGTCTCTGTCCAGCTGGATAGTACTGAGGACAAGCTTTCTGTTGGTCAAGATGCTACTGAATATGGTTATCCAAAATCAAGAATCGATAGGGATTTCTCTGCCAGGGTATTAATACCCCTGGAGCATTTTAAATTACCTATCCTTGATGGTTCTTTTTTCATGAAGGATTTTAAGCCTGATGGGGCTGCTGGCAGCAGAAATTCAAGCTTCTCTGAAAAGAGTATCAAGGCTGAACTAAAAGCTTCCATTAATAACCTGATATCCAGAATAAAGGTCCGGTGGCAATCAGGCCGGAACAGCTCTGGAGAATTAAATATCAAGGATGCCATACAGGCAGCACTTAAGACGTCTGTTATGGATGTACTGCTACCAGATCCATTGACATTTGGCTTCAGGCTTGTTAGAAATGATCTATCGCAAGAATCCAATGACTCTAGGCCTAAAGGTTCTGTTTTGGCACATGACATGACTCCTATGGAAGTCCTGGTTCGCAATAACACCAAGGAAGTTATCAAGATTAGTCTTAGTATTACATGCAGGGATGTGGCTGGAGAGAATTGCGTTGAGGGTACCAAGGCAACCGTCTTGTGGTCTGGTAAGAATTTCTTGTGTTGAGGGATGTTATTTTTCATTTACTTTCTGATATTATTATCCACTACTCCCTCGCATGAAATATTCATGTTGCATCTGTTAGTTTCACGCATAAATATCCTTCTGCATTATAAGAGTTCGGCTATGTCCACCTTCTCTGCTTCATTTTGATTTTATTAGCATAATCTGCTTGCTTGGCCTCCCATCATTACTTGCTCAGGTGGAGAATGAACTCTGCATATTACTAACACCATGACAAATATAATCAATGACTCTGCTCGGTGTGATTTCTTGGTAGGTGTTCTGAATGGAATAACCATAGAGGCTCCTCCCCTTCAAGAATCTAAGCATTCCTTCTCTTTGTATTTCCTTGTACCTGGGGAGTACACACTAATGGCTGCTGCTGTTATAGAAGATGCGAATGACGTCCTCAGAGCTCGTGCAAAAACCAATTCACCTGATGAGCCAATATTCTGTCGTGGTCCCCCATTCCACGTCCGTGTCATTGGGACGGCATGACCATTCCATCTTAACCATATCGACGAATCAACTTAATGTCGGACTGTACAGCTAAGGAGAGTGCTGCTCGGCACGAGCAAAACGCCAAGCCAAGGGTTTTGGTAGCTTCACTGCAAACATGATTTTCTTTTTAGTTCTGCCAGCGATTCAAATCCTGTTGTGCTGTCCTAGTTGATCTCTTATTCTGTTTGATTAATGTGTATTTGTGATATGTGCTTGTAAATCCATTGTCCAATTAATACCACCACAATGATTCTCTCCCCCTCTCTCTCTCTCTCTCTCTCTCCTTCTGTCTAATCAAGAAGATTGGTTCAGTTTATTATGGCTTGTTCCTGGTTAAGTTGTTATCGATGCTATCTGTCTAGTTTAAGACTCTAAACACTAGCGCAACAAAACTGCATATAAACGTAGCCAAGCCTCGACTAGCCCAATCTAAATCTCTGTGGGCTTGCTTGGCCTTTTGACGTGTTAGGGCATAGGAATCTTCGAAGAGCTGCCATTTGAATTGGGTCTTTCTGCTAAGGCTGCCTGTTCACTGTTTTGGTTGGGATTTTATGAGAATGTCCTCGACGTTTACCTTGTTGCAAGGGGCTGATCTTGGGCAGTTGGGCCGGCTTGAGGATGTAAGAAGCTGTGATGGGCTAATCAGCTGCATGGTTAAGAAGTTCAACACCTTGGCTCTTGCCATTGTTGATGCACAAGTAGGCATGCTCTGCCTCTTATCAACCAGGACTCGACTCCAAGATTAGAGAAGAAGGATGTGATGTGATTTTTCTCAAATTCTCTAGTTTTGATGGATATAGTTCGTCTTTGGCTAGATCAAGAAAATAAATTTAGTTTATGTACGCAATAGCGGCCCTAGAATACCACCTATTTATCAAGTCAAATAAAAAATACTTAAATATTTTGTTTTGTCAAAAAAAAAAAACTATTTCAATTCAAAAAATTAAATTATTGGATGAGATCCAGAAATAATTTTATATTATTCTTTAATACACCTTCTCAAGTAAACTTTTTTTTGGACATAAAAATTGTGCAAATCTACCACTATTTTGTGTTTAATTATTTAATTAGTAAAAAAAGTAGGAGTTGTGAGGTTTGAATTTATAATATTTTGATAATTAAAATTCTGATACCATATCAAAAAATCATTTCAATTTAATAATTTAAATTATTATATAAGATTTAAGAATAGTTTTATGTTATTTTCTAACACTTCTGTTCAAATACCACATCTATGTAATATTGCTAAACATATTAAGAATGTAATTGATTTTTTTTATTACTATTCTTCTATATTTGTTGTTTGGGGGGATTGGTTAGAATAATGTTTTTACCTTTCGATTTCGTAATGCAGTGCCTCCAATTTTTTATCATTAGTGTTATTTTCTGTGTTGGGATTCCTTATCAAATTAGTATTGGAAGCTCAAAATGGATTAAAAATTAAGGATTGAAATATGAAAGCTCAAACTTCCAGCAATTGGTTGCTAGATGGATGACCGATTGAAAGTTGGCACCCTTCCACTATCTCTATCAGACCATTTAGCTTTGTGATGTTCGTGCATGCATATTTCTTACCTTAAGATTCCTGAAGCGATTGTGTTGGTCATTATAAATTCTTGATGGTAACTGACATGATTGGTTGGACGATTGGTCTTCATCATCATTTTTAATGTCAGGTACCAAGTTTTTCTCATGAGACCCATTGGACCTTGAAATGGGGCCTGTCAAATTGAATAATTAGCACTAGAAAGAGCAAGCCATGATAAAATGGTGAAGTTGTTTTATTTACTAATAAATTGTAATGAGGATAAGAGCAGAATTTCCCAAGTCTTACGGCCAAGTTTTTCTAAGAGGGGGAAGAAGAAGGGAAACGAAGGGAAAATGAGATGAAAAAGTAAATTTTTGGTGAAACATCTTGAGGGATGAGTTGTTTTCATTTACCTAATCTTTTCCCCCACAATAATTACTGTGTGGTAGTGTTATACGGGCTGTAATTTTCTTGACATGCAATTTCAGCATTCTTTGGCCGGTTGCCTTCTCCATGTATTTTCAAGAAAGCTCATCTTTCCAACTCATGAATTGGTAAAAGATAGTTGAGAATCAACCCTATCCCAATTTGGCAATTTCCAACCACTCCCCTAGCCCCACCCCATACCAAGACCCTTGTATTACCTTGAAGCAACAGTCAACAATTTCACCTCAAAAGAAAATAAATTTAAACAAAATGAGACAAAAAAGTTTGACAAAAGAGCATCACTGAAATTTTTAGTGATGTATTTCTTTTCAAATATCTCTAATTAAAATTTATTTTATAAAAAATTGTTTATATATATATATATATATATATATATATATATATATATATATATATATATATATATATTTAAAAAAGTATTTTTGAAAAAGTATTAATTAAATATGTTGATAGGACATAGTAATTAATAATTTTTTTTTAAATTTATGTGAAAAGTTAGACTTATCTTTTTGGGACGGAAATGACATTATATAGGGAAAAAATAATTGAATGTTTATAAAATAGAAGGATAAGGTGTGCTGGCTAATCCATCCCAGAAAAATTTTGTTTATGTTTTTGATAACATATGGTGTTTATTATTAATATATTGTTTGTCTAGCACTCAATCCTACTCTGTCTGAAATCAAACATGTCCTTTGTCATGTTCTGATATAGTCAGCAATCAACATATGAAAATTTCTCAAACAATGATCAATGCCAATGCGTTTTCATTGCTTATGTATGAATTCTGGATTCACACATTTGCAGAAGAAATTTCTCACAAGACACCAACCTACAGTCGTATTGTCCATTTAGCTTCACTGCCAAGTACACAAATCTAATTGATCCTCAATTTTCCCAGCCCTCAAACTTTTTTCACCCCAAAATGCAAAATCTCTTCAAGTGCTATCTTACCATTGCTACAATTTTTATTTTTTCCCAAAAAGAAAAATCTTAGTCAACAACTTTTTAACTATGCTCATGACATCCTCTCTTTGTCCCAATTGTATGTATGTACAATCACCATCATGTAGTAGAAAATGTGGTCTCATCCATATAGTATTTGGCTGTGGGATGAGTTCCCAAATTTTTTGTAGCAAGAAAATGGCATGACATATCTCAAAGACAGACTGAAAAAGCATATCATCATGAAAAACCATGCCCAAAAATAATGTCCTTTGATCCTGTTTTCCTCATCTATCATGTCAGCTACATTAGCTGGTGGGACAACTGGTGCCTTTAGCTGTTATTTGATTGTTGCTCGGAATTCATAACAGTATATAAGATGGAAATTGTTAATCTGGCCACGTGCCATGGACAGGGTCGCTGTAGCTTTGTATACATGCAAAAAGATGAAGAAGGCGACTATTGGCAAGGATACATAAACAACATAAATAGAAAGATGCGGTAGTGTTTGTTAGATAAATTAAATATGCCTAAGGATAATAGGATAAATACATCCACTTATAATTGATCAAATGCTCTTGCAGTTGTCAAATAAAAGTGGAGATAAAGAGACTTATACTCTATGTCAATATTTTAGTTTTTTTATGAGTTAGTAAATGACATAGGACTTAATATTTATATGGTTAGGCTAGATTTTTTTTTTAACCTCATTTTGCACTTTCATCCATAATGAATGTGCTTAACCCATCACTAGAATCTAATAGGCTTTCAATTTTTAATTGTCATTTATAGATTTAAAATAAAAGATGACGCATGAGTCACACTAAAAGATATTTTTTTTATATTTTTTATCTTATCTCGTATGAGACAATTTGAAAAATGACAATTTCTTCATAGAGTTCAAAATAGTTAGTAAGTAGAAACACTCACACTTAAATAAAAAATACAACACTTAAATTCTAATGATTATACTTTACAACTAAGCATTTCATTCTATTTATTACAATACATAGCATTATCAAAATAAACACTTAATGAGAAAATAAATTTTATAAATGAACTTTCAATAAATCATTTGGGTTTGACTTTATATATTCCAAAGAATATAGGAAATAATACTTTATGTGCAAAAAAAAAACATCAATTTCTAAAAGTAGCATAAAAATGTCTAGACAATCAATTAAAAAAAAAAAAACAAAGTCAAATGTCAAATGGGTTAGCTAGACCCATATGATTCACACGATTTCTATACTTTTTGAGCCAACGGTGCTTTAGTCATGGGATCTATAACCATTAGCTCAATGCTCATATGCTCGGTGGGCACTTCATGGTTCTTTACTTTCTCTCTCACAATGAAATACTTTATGTCGATATTTTTTTTTTACTTTTACTCTTATTGTTCTTATAGAAGAAAATTACAATTGAATTATCAAAATAAATCTTTATTGATTTTGATATGAGATCAACAATTTTTAAACTCAAAATGAAAATTTTTAACCGAGATAACTTCGTTTCGTTGCTTGATAACATGTAATGAATTATACTTTCATAGTAGATGAAGCAACAATAATTTGCATGGTCTCATTATACAAACACAAATTACTACTCGCACACAAAATGTCATCTACATACGAGTATAAGAAAAATATATTTGCACTCACTAACTTTAAGGTATATAAATTAATTAATAATGTTCTTTATAAAACTATATGAAATAATAACATTATAAAAATTAATATACCACTATTGAAAGCCTTGTTTTGGCCTATATATAGATTTTTTTAGCTTACAAATTAAGTGGGTATTCGTGTCATCATAAAAACCTTTAGGCTGATTCATGTATACTTGTTCATCTAAATTTTTCATTTAAAATTGTTGTTTTTACATCTATTTGATGTAGCTCTAAATCAAAATGAATTATCAATGTCATTATGATTCTAAATAGAGAAAGTTTTATGGCAATCTATGCCTTCTTTTTAGGTACAATACTTAGTTACATGTCTACCTTTATATGGTTTGATATTACCGGAAGAATTTTTTTTAGTTTTATAAATTCGATCATAGCCAACGACTACGG